ATGAAGTCATTAGCAATAGAGCAATTGAGATTTTAGGAGGCGAGCTTGGTAGCAAGAGCCCTGTGCATCCCAATGATCATGTTAATAAAAGCCAGGTCAGTACATGATCTCTTCTTTTTTTTTTTTTTGTTATACATTGAAAAGTATACCTGAGATTTTTCTTGTGAACAGGGGTCCCCAACCTTTCTTCCCTCTGCTGCACACTGAAGAGGAAGGGTTGCCTTGGGCACGTGTTAAATAGAGAAGCACTAAGGAGAGTTGATTAACAAAAATGGTTGTGCCCACTTTGTGTGATATCTGACACCACAGATAAGCAAAAAAAGTCCTCATTAAATCTGCCTACTGCCCACCTGGGCTGTGGGTTAGACACCTCTGCATGTAAAATAAGAATTGGCTTTTTGACAGGGAGAGTTCATTTAGCTTATATTCTTTTTTTTTTTAAATTAAATGATAACGGTATACATTAATGCAATCATGGGGTACAGTCTGATGTCTTCTTAACCACTCTGAAATATTTTCATCAAACTGGTTAACATAGTCTTTATGTCATTTTCTTAGTTATTGTGTTAAGACGTTTATATTCTACTTTTAGAAAGATTCACTTGTACCCTTGAAAGATAAACCATAGAGGTGATCCCTCCAATCATAGCTCATATTCTTTAACAAAGAATACTTCTTATGTATCTGATTTCCTTTAAGAATCTTGGCTTTATATCTTAGACTTTATAAAAGTCACTTTTAGGATACCTAAATTTAGCATATATGTGTATTTTCATTGTTTGATTTATTTTGAAAACCCTTAAAATAATTTTATAATTACTAAAGAATTACAAGGGTATCTTAAAAAGTATACTCCTTTCACTCATCTTGCCTTACTGTTAGCACATTATATAATGATGGCAGGTTTATCCAAACTAAGAAATTAACATTAGTACATGACTGTCAACTAAACAGACTTTTTTAGAATTTCCCCAGTTTTTCTACCTAAGTTTTTTTTTCTCTTTCAGCATTCAGACCATGCTATGCATTAACATTTAGTCATATGTCTTCTTAGGTTCTGCCAATCTGTGGCATTTTCTTGGAATTTTGCCTTTTGTGATTGTCTCAGTCTCTGGGGGCTGCTGTAACAAATACAATAGACTGGGTACCTTATAAACAACAGAAATTAATTTATGCAGTTTTGAAGGCTGAAAAACTAAGATCAGGCTACTAGTAGATTTATTGTATGTTGGAGGCCCACTTCCTGTTTCACAGATGGCATTTTTTCTCTGTGTCCTTATGTGTCCCCAGAGAGGCAGCTCTCTGGTGTCTCTTTTTTTTTAAAATTGTTCGGGATTCATTGAGGGTACAAGAAACCAGGTTTCACTGATTGCATTTGTTAGGGAGAGTCCTCTCTTACAATTGTTTAATAAGGACACTAATTTCATTCATGAGACCTCTGCCCCGTGACCTAATCACCTCCCAAAGGCCCCACCTCCTAATTCCATCATAGGGGATGGGATTTCAACTATGAATATGGCGGGTGAGACACACAGACCACAGTGATCTTGACACTTTTAACTGTAGTGGTCAGGTATTTTGTAGAATCTTCCTTAATTTTGGTGTATATGATGCTTTCTCATGATTAGACTGAGACTCTAAATTATCGAGAAGTGTGTCATAGAAGTGGCTGAAGGTCCCTGAGGGAATGCGTTTTGCCAGTTCCTAAATAGTTTGGCAAGTTACATAATCTCTCTGAGGACTTGGCTTTCCTACTTTTAAAGTGTTGATCTTACTTCATGGAATTTTTTTAAACTTAATAAATGTTCACGAAACACTGTATATACTGTATAATTGGAAGATGTTACTATCCTTGTCTTCCAATGTAGTTGTAAGTTGCACTTCTGAATGTTTCGCTGTCATTTCTTAGCAGACGGCTGTAATATGTACTTTCCGTAACATGTATGTACGGTACATTCAGCATACTTGGTGAATATAGTGCAGTTTTGAGCATGTTAAGTGTAAGAAACCAAGTTGCTTCTTATTTGATCCTGAGTGACTTGCCACATAAATGTAATTGAGTACTATATAGAGAGTTTTCAGTATTTAGTGAGTTTTGTTAATTGAAACATTCAAGTTTGTTCATTGTTGGCTCTGAATGAACATTTTTGTTTCTTTTGCGAAATCTCCCACAGAGCTCCAACGATACTTTCCCCACAGCAATGCACATTGCTGCTGCAGTCGAGGTTCACGAAGTGCTGTTACCAGGACTGCAGAAGCTCCATGATGCTCTCCATGCAAAATCCCAAGAGTTTGCGCAGATCATCAAAATTGGGCGCACTCACACTCAGGACGCTGTTCCCCTTACTCTTGGGCAGGTATGGGAGTTGGACTACTTTTACTCAATTCAGGGCTTGGTACAAATGGCCAGTATATCACCCTCAAAATCTCAACTGATTTAAAAGGCCAAATTTATAACCATAAATTCAGTGACCGAGATTGTTGTATATCAACCAATCGGTAGTTTCTACTGACGTCCACTCAGAAGAAGAGCAGAGAATACTGACTGTAAGCCAGGCGTGGGCAGCCTGCTCAGCTTCAAATCTTAGCTTTGCTGTATACAGGCTGTGGAACTATAGGAAAATTATGTAGCCTTTCTGGGTCTTGGTTTTCTGAGCTGTAAAATGAGGAAAATAATTTCCCTTTCATTGGACAGTTGTGAAGTTCTAAATTGAGTTCACTGATAAGCGATTCGTGTAGAATGCTTAGACCCACTCCTGGCACATAGTAAGTACCCGTTAGTGTTAGTCATCGTCATCATCATCAGCTTCGTCAATACCATGATTATGATTTCTTTGTCTTTCCTATTCTAAATTAGTTAAGATGAATTTTAAAGTGATTAAGCAAGGTAGGTTTTACTCTTTGAAGTTGTTTCAATCACATGCCAAAGAGATACAACTCTCTTCTTTAAGATATGAGGAAGTGTTCTCATGTTTCTTTGGATTTGACTGAATCCAAATTTTATAAAACAAGTCCTTTTATTTTTATTAATACATTTTTGTTTGTTATTTATATTTCATTTTTGAAATGAATTTATTTAAAATATCAAAGAATTAGGCAGTGCCTGTGGCTCAAAGGAGTAGGGCACCAACCCCATATATTGGAGGTGGTGGGTTCAAACTTGGCCCCGGCCAAAAACTGCAAAAAAAATAAATAAATAAATAAATAAATAAATAAAATACCAAAGAATAAAACTGGTTTCCATGAATTAATCCTCCATCCAAATTGACCAGCACACGTGAACATAAGTTAAGCCATAAAGCTGTTCTTTTTAAAAATTTATTTTCTGCATTGTCTTTCTTTGCTTTCTATTAAAAGCCTAGATTATAAATACGCTGGGTGTTAAACAGTGGCAGTGCTCTGCCCTATCAGCTTTCTAAACTCTCATCCTGGGCTATACTTTACTCATCATATGAATTAAAATAGTACAGCTACCACCTGAGTAGCTTACAATGGAGCATCTTGAAATGTATTTTAAAACTTTGTATGTAATGCAGTTCGAGTAACTTGTAAGCCATTTGGAATTGTTTATTCCCACCTTCATTTTCTTCTCTTTTCAGGAATTTAGTGGTTATGTCCAACAAGTGGCGTATGCAATGGCAAGAATAGAAGCTGCCATGCCACGGATCTACGAGCTCGCAGCTGGGGGCACGGCTGTCGGTACCGGTTTAAATACTAGAGTCGGCTTCGCAGAAAAAGTTGCTGCCAAAGTGGCTTCACTCACAGGTGAGTGGCCGCACGAATTATTTTCCGTTTTCAGGATGCTAAGGTGTTTCTGTCTTGAATTTTTCTGAATTTAAAGTTAGAATTAACTCATTGAACTAGTGTTTTACATCTGTTTCCAAAGTTTTAATATGAATTCTTTTGCTCCTAGAAAGTTTTCCATATAAGAGTTTATACATCGTGCAGTTAAAGTCTACCAGTATTAGCTTTTTGAATACTCTGGCGGTATTCAATTATTTTCCCTTTAAAGTTCTTTTGAATAGCAATTTTCAAAATAGGCAGAAACAACTGATTGATGAGAAAGTGATTTGAATGGTGAATATGGTGTAGGCAGGCATAATTTTTTTCCCTGTATCATGCTGTGAATTATTGACCTTTTTGAATCCTGTCTTTCCTTCAGTAGAGGAAATACTATGCTGTTGGTAATGATATTAAAATAACTATTATTAGGGCCAAGTTCTCATCTCCAGAAAACCATTATTAACACGCAGATGTTCAGAGTCTCAGTCTCTGCCACTGTTGCTTCTCAGACTCCTGAGCCACTGTCCATCTGCCACCGTTCACTCTGAACGCAGAATATCCAGTCATGCTAAAAATGAGCTGGTTCAGACGGTCAAAGTGGCCAAGCAGGCCAAGTAAGATGATGATGTGTCAGCCTGCACGGAGTCTGTAACTGAGCAAGGAGCCAAATTATCCAGTGAGGAGAGGAATCTTCTCTTTGTTACTTATAAGAATGTTGTAGGAGCCCTTAGATCGTCTTGGAGGATGGTCTCAAGTATAGAACATAAGAAGGAAACTGCAGGCTTGGTGCCTGTGGCTCAAGTGGCTAAGGCACCAGCCACATACATCTAAGGTGGCGGGTTCGAATCCAGCCTGGGCCCACCAAACAACAGGGACAGCTGCAACCAAAAAATAGCTGGACGTTGTGGTGGGCGCCTGTAGTCCCAGCTACTTGGGAGGCAGAGGCAGGAGACTCGCTTGAGCCCAGGAGTTGGAGGTTGCTGTGAGCTGTGATGCCATGGCATTCTACCCAGGGGGACAGCTTGAGGCTCTGTCTCAAAAAAAAAAAAAAAAAGAAGGAAACTGCTGATTAAAAACAGTAGATGGCTTGAGACTGCAGAGAGAAAATTGTGAGGAGCTAAGGGGTATCTACAGTGATACACTGTCTCTTTTGGGAAAGTTCCTGATCCCTAGTGCTTCACACCCAGAGAGCACTGTTTGAAAATGAAAAGGACACAACTACAGTTTCTTGACTGAGATTGCTGCTGGTGGTGACAAGAAAGGGATTGTGTGTCAGTCACAACAAACATACCAAAAAGCTTTTGAAATTGGCAAGAAAGAAATGCAATCAGCACATCCTATCAGATTCGGTGTGGCCCTTAGCTTCTCTACTCTATTATGAGATTCTTGCAAGGACGGCTTTTGATGAAGCCATTGCTGATCTTGACACATTAAGGAGTCATACAAAGACAGTGCAGCAATAATGCAGTTGCTAAGTGACAGCTTGGCATTGGAGACATCGGATACTAAGGGGATGAGGCTGAAGCAGGAGGAGGAGAAAACTAACTGGATTTCCACCCTTTGTCTGTCTCATTCCAAAATTTACAAAGTAAATCATTTTGTCATCCCTGGTGTCACACAAATAGTTTTTTTATTTACAATTTATGACAGGTTGATGTTACTTTTATTTGAATTTCTGTGTTTCCCATGTAGTTTTTAGGTTTAATATTAGGGGAGTAGAGCCAGTTAACATTTAGGGAGTTACCTATTTTCATCTTGAGTTGGCTAATGGGGGTGTGGGATGTTTGTACACGTTATAAACGTTTGGCATAGTACTGTTGGTACATTGTGGCTTTACAAGGGCCCCTGTTAAATCCATTTCCATGTCTAAGCAAATGCCTACATATTGGTTTTTCTTGATGGAGAATAAAAGTTAAAATTGGTTCCAGTCACAGATGTTCTTGTAGGTCCTTTAAGGTTTGGAGCACTTACCAGGCTGTGATAGAACATAACTCATGGATACTACATGTTAACCATGTACGTCTGGAACATGGTTTACACCATTACGTCATGGTTACGTCCTGGTACGTCAAGCTCCGTGTGCATGCCTTTCCCTGTAGCCACAGAAGTGCTCCTTTAGATAAAATTGTGACCCGGTTTACTCTGGAAGGGACAGAAAGGGTTCACATTTCATTATTTGTAAAGTTACCTACTGTTTGCTCTCCTTATTTTATTGCACTTATTTTATGTGTATTTAAATGTTTTAGGCAACCTAAGAACACATGTAAAAGTAAAGCTGCAGTAAAATGAATTGCTTGATATCTTTTACTTTTTGTATATCAAGCACTGCAGTAGAACAAAGAAAAAACAGCAGGTGTTCAACTTTTTTTTTTCTCTGCTTTTGTGGGGTTTTTTTTGTTGTTGTTTGTTTGTTTTTTTTGTTTTGGTGATGCTTGCCTAACATGCATGTGCTGTAGAAAATAGTTAACAAGGAAACATCAGGTGATGGCTAGCTTGGTTTAAAAGTCTCACAAAATTTTCATGAACAATCCAAGCATAACTGTTAAGAACATGTGTATCAAGTTCATGTGAGTGGAATAAGTTTTATGAATGGACTTTTCAACTACTTTCCCTACAGCTTTTTTTTTTTTTAACTTGAGACAGAGTCTCAGTATGTCACGCTCCATAGAGTGCCATAGTGTCACAGCTCACAGCAACCTCTAACTCTTTGGCTTAAGTGACTCTCTTGCCTCAGCCTCCCAAGGAGCTGGGACTACAGGCGCCCACCACAACGCTTGGCTATTTTTTGGTTGCAGTTGTCGTTGTTTATCAGGCCTGGCTGGGTTCGAACCTGCCAGCCTTAGTCCATGTGGCTGGAGCCCTAACCACTGTGCTATGGGCACCAAGCCCCCTACAGTTTTTTTTATGTAAATTCGTCTTTTGATTCTGGAACTGCTCTAAAGGAAATTGTGCATTTTGCGAAATGTATTCCTTATTCTTTCTTGGTAGCTAATGGGCTTTTACCAAGTTTAAATACAAAGTTTATCATAATACAAATACTACCAGTATAACGGTTGTTTCTAATAACCATGTGTAACCATGTTCCGCTCTTCTCCCCCTCCACGCCCTAAAAAACTAGTTATTATTTTTTTCTGGGCTGGGGGGGGGTGATTGGAAAAAAGTAGTATGTTCCATTTAAATTTTTTCAGTAAAATGGCAATGTAGCATTTTCTAACTTAGGAAGGCGCACACACAATGTTTTTGGCCTATCACATCACTGGGGGGTAGCATTAACTGTAAGTACTATATTTCCGGATCACTTTTGGCTTTTAAGAATTTCTTGATACTTTATACCCTACCTTCAATTTCAGCCTTTTATATATCCTGTTTATTGGGTACACGATTACCTTCCTTTTTTAGCCTTCTGTCTTGTCACCAGCCATTCCTACTTGGTGGCCGTGTATTTGGAAAAAATGTCTTGTGATCTTTCTGGCTCTACTCGGGGTCTAAGTCCATAACCCTGCTTCCTTTGCTTGCGTCCCACAAACTGTTTCCCTCGTCCTCTTGACTGCAGCAAGTCTCCTTAGTTGATGAGATTGTGTTTATCTCCCTTTAAGCTCTACCTATTCTGAATGGTCTGTCATTGTCGGCTTTAAAAACCCTTCCTCTTTCTCTTCCTCTATTTTCTAAATAATGAAGAGGCAGTTACATCCCAAGTTCATTTTACAGGCTGTTTCCTCAGTACTTTGCAGAAAACACCAAACAAAAATGCCGTTTTACAAAACGTGTAATTTTTTTCTTTCAGAGTGTAAGCTCCTCAAGAGCAGGGACAGTATTTTCTGCAGGTTTAATTGTGCCTACTCCACTGTAAATGCTTAACCAATACAGACGATGGGGAAAAATAAATGCAGATGTTACCAGACGTTCAAGTAGAGATAATTAATCATATACTGCACATTAGAGCTTCCTAATGGATTTGTTTTTTAATTAAATTTTACTAGAAAAAAATGTATTCTTGGGGTTTAGAATATGTATATCTTTAAAATTTTTAATATGGGAGAGATCAGCTGAGAACCCCTAACTCATTATAGGTCCCTATTCTCTCAGCGGATCTGTGCCACCGGCTAGCGGAGAGAATGGGACAGAGTAAAGTGGACGAAGGAACTTTTTTGCAATTATATTAAGAAAGGAGTGTAGAATAAGGCAGGGTGAGTTCCACCTACTTTTCCTTTACTCAGGCATCATCATATGTGTTTGCAGTAGATGGTATTTTTTCTTTCAATATATATTGTATTTGCTATTTCATCCTTTAAATACACTGTCAAACTCTTTGTACTCCTTTGGGACTACTTTTAAAAAATGTAGACACTCTGGGAGACCGAGGTGAGTGGATTGCTTGAGCTCATGAGTTTGAGACCAGCCTGAGCAAGAGCAAGACCTCATCTCTAAAAGTAGCTGGGCCTTGTGGCGGGTGCCTGTACTCCCAGCTACTCGGGAGGCTGAGGCAACAGGATCACTTGAGCCTAGGAGTTTGAAGTTGCTGTGAGCAATATCCCCACGGCACTGAACTCCAGGACAACTGAGTGAGACTAAATAAATAAATAAATAAATAAAAAATGTGGACAAATCTTGAGTCTCCCAAAGCAAGCAAAAACATACACTGGGTTAGGGAAATTGGATAACCATATGCAAAAGAATGAAACTGGATTCCTGTCTCTCACTATATGTAAAAATTCACTCAATATGGATTAAAGACTTAAACATAAGAACTGAAACCATAAAACTTTTAGGAAAAAACCTAAGTAAAGCTCTTCTAGACATTGGCATAGGCAAATAATTTGTGACTACGACCTCAAAAAGAAATGCAACAAAAACAAAAATAAACAAAGGAGACTTCATTAAACCAAAAAGCTTCTATACTGCTAAAGAAGTAATCAATAGAGTAAATGGACAACCTGCAGGTTGGGAGAAAATATTTATAAACTACACCTCCAACAAAGGACACATCCAGCATTTACAAGGAACTCAAACAACTCAGGAAGAAAAAACAAATGACCCCATCGAAGAGAAGGCAAACAACATGAACAGATTTTTCAAAAGAAGATAAACAGATGGTCAGTAAACGTTAAAAAATGTTTGACAGCTCACACAGAAATGCACATTAAAACGACAATGATAGGCCATGTCACTTCAGTTAGAAAGGCCATTGTTAAAAAGTCAAGAAACAAGAGGTGTCGGTGAAAACATTGCTTATACATGGTGGGGTGTCAGTGAATACAACCTCTATGGAAACAGTACGGAAATCTCTCACGGAGATGTACCATTTGATTCAGTAATCTCACTATTGGTAATCTACCCAAAGGAAAAGAAGTCATATCAAAAAGACAGCTGTACTTTGATGGTTATCACAGCACAGTTCACAATTGCAAAGGTATGGAATCGGTCTAAGTGTCCATCAAACGATGAGTAGATAAAGGTTTTGTGCTGTGAATATACCACGAAATGCCACTCAGCCATGAAAAAAGAATGAAATAATATCTTTTGCAGCAACTCCGATGAAACTGAAGTTCATTATCCTGCGTGAAGTCACTCAGGAATGGAAAACCAAATGCTGCGTGATCTTATTTATAAGTGGGCACTAAGCTGTAGGTATGGGTGGTCATGCAGAGTAGAATAATAGTCACTGGAGAGTCCATAGGTGAGAGGGTGTGAGGGGTGTGAGGGATGCAGAATTACCTGTGGGGTTACACTGTATACTGTTCAGCCCAGACTTCACGATTATGCAGCAGATCTATGTAACAAAATTGCATTCGTACCCCAAATCTATTGGAGAAAAAACAAAAGTTTGAGTTTTAAACGTTTTCTTTGACATAAAATTTTTCTTCTGTCTATGTTTTTCATATACTGGAGCTTTTCTGTTTAACTTGCTGATAGTAGAAAAATGTTTTATTTTTACCTGTTCATATATACATACACACATATATATACTATAAATAAGCGCTCACGATCCCTCTCTTTCTCTCTCTCTCTCTCTCTCTCTCTGTGTGTGTGTGTGTGTGTATATATATAATGTTTTTTTCTCCCTTTCTTCAGGCTTGCCATTTGTCACTGCTCCAAATAAATTTGAAGCTCTAGCTGCTCACGATGCTCTGGTTGAGCTCAGTGGAGCCATGAACACAACTGCTTGCAGTCTGATGAAGATAGCAAATGACATCCGCTTTCTGGGTTCTGGTCCTCGGTCAGGTCTAGGTGAACTGATCTTGCCTGAAAATGAACCAGGAAGCAGTATCATGCCAGG